AAAATATTAAGAGATACAAGGGCCTTTCTTTTCTTGGTACTAAATTCCTTTCAAATTTTATCAAAATTTTACTACACTTTTAAATAGAAAATAAAAATTTAAAGGTTTTATTAAAATTAAAAATGACACTAGTAATAAATTTTTTTATTTTAAAAATTAAAGAAACTTAATTGATTGTAAATTTTAAATAAATAAAAAACAAAATAGGTTATAATCTAAGCTGAGAAAGGACAAAAATAAAATGGAACTTTTTATACTACATGTGATTAAATATCTATTTGCATGTATTCTCACATGCATTTTTTTCTTTTTTTATCAATGTAGTAATGAGATGTTACTAATATATATTAAATTACTAACATTAAATTTACAAATTATATATATTTAAAATAATTTACAAGTTTAAAAAATGTTACAAAATTATATTAAGAGAAAAGTTTAGAAACATTACAAGTTGAATAAATAACATAAGTATTTACACTATAAATTTTTTTTAACACTAATATCAAAAAACTGTATAATATAAATTTGTTGACTTTATTAATTAAATAACTATATACAAATTTTTACGCTAAAATTTATTGATTTATTTGTTGTAGACCGTAAGGTTGAGCTGTTGTAGGTCATAAGACTGAGTTGTTGTAGGAGATCTCTGAGCTGATATGCGTGACGACGCATTGTTTGTTTATTGCTATTATTGCTGAATGATGTGAGATGTATGCTGTAATGTATTGTATGTTGATGTTGCTGAACTAGATGATATGCTGATAACTGTAGCTGATTATAATTCTTGTAATTATATGAGTATAAGTTTATTCTTTTCACTAGTTTACCCTTTGTTGTTTCCATGTAGTTTGGACTGCAATGATCATACTATGTATGGGAGCAGAGCAGGGATAGGCTAGTGTATAGAGGCAGATCTGTAGCTGACAGATGCAATGGATGTATTTTGATATTTTGCTGTTTTAGCTACTTAGTGTAGCAATTGGACTGTATTTTGTATTTTGATTTTAAGTCCCAGACTAGACCATATGTATATATTTTAGCTGCTTATATATATATGCATGCTCTTTCTTGTGTGGTGTTGTGATGTTTTGCTGTGTGACGACCAGGCGGGTCGTTACATTTATAATAATTTACAAGTTTAAAAAATGTTACAAAATTATATTAAGAGAAAAGTTTAGAAACATTACAAGTTGAATAAATAACATAAGTATTTACACTATAAAAGTTTTTTTAACACTAATATCAAAAAATTGTATAATATAAATTTGTTGACTTTATTAATTAAATAACTATATACAAATTTTTATGCTAAAATTAAAACATAGTTTATCTTAAAAGAGTGGTTTTATTTTAAAGTTTACACTATTATTCTTAAATTCCTAACATCATTATTACTTTTTAAAAGAAAATTCTTTGATTTGATATTTATAAAAATGATAATATGTCAGATTTAAATAAAGATTTATGATTTGGTATATTTAAATTTTAACTTAATTTAATATATTTAACAAAAATGTTATATATATATATATTTATTAGAAATAGTAATTACATTTAATTTAAGAGAGATTTTTGGAATAATAGTATTAAATATGGACATGGACAAATTAGTTAAAATTTACTTATATTTAAGTAAATTTACTCATATTTAAGTCCAACAATTTTAGGTATATATATATATATATATATATATATATATATGATATAATAAGAAATAATATATATATTACCTTGTTAACAATATACATAAATAATAAATTCATAATACAAAAAATTAAATTATTAATATTTTTGACATTTTTGTTATATTTAAATGTTTTTTATTACTTGTTTATACAACATCAATAAATATAAAACAAAAAATCTAATAGATATGTTTTTATGTGTTCTTTTTTTTTTTCTTTTTTTTTCATTTTCATGATTAATTATTTAGAATATTTTAAATGATATATAAGAAATATTTTTAAAAAAATTTCTTTTCTAAGATTATGTTATTTCATCACATGTGAATGAACATTAATGTCCATGATTATACATGTTGTCTCATGTAACGACCCGCCTCGCCGTCACAGAGTAGACAACACAACACCACGCAGAAAAGAGTATGCATATATAAACAGCTAAATATATACACAAAGTCTAGCCTGGAGCTTAAAATTCAATGTACAAGATACATCAAAATAGCCAAACTGGTGGCTAAAAACAACAAAAGCAACTTCATCTGCCAGCCACAGACCTGCCTCAAGACACCAACCTATCCCTGTTCTGCTCCCATACATAATATGATCATTGCAGTCTAAACCACATGGAAACAACAAGGATAAGCTAGTGAAAAGAATCAACATATGTAAACATACATAGAAATTATCAATAGCTACAACTATTAGCATATCACTAAGTTCAACATGAATCAACATACAACACATCACAACATACATCTCACATCATTCAGCCAAAATCAGCATTAAACAAACAATGGTTCGTCACGCATATCAGCTCGGAGATCTCCTACAACAGCTCCGCCTTACAGCCTACAACAACTCAGCCTTATGGCCTACAACAACTCAGTCTTACGGCCTACAACAGTTTATATCAACATGCAACATAGCACAACATAACAACATTAACAACATACAACACAACTCAACTTTATATAGCACAACTTAAACATCATAATTCAGCATAAACATCTCATAGCACACCAATATCGTCACTCAGCTCAACAATATTCATCAATTTCAGCTAAAATCAGCATATATCAGCATACTAAGGAAACACACATCCGCGCCCGACGCACTCCTGATTGCGCCCGGCGTGGCCCAACCAGAGAGCTCCAACGCTCAAACGCGCTCGGCACAATTCCAATTGCGCCCGGCATGCTAGGAGGCAGAGACCCCAAAGAGCTTCACACGCCCGACGTGCCAAACCCGTGCTCGGTGCAGGGAAGGCAAAGACCTTCCCAAGGTCTCACGCCCAGCGCAATACCAATTGCGCCCGGCGCCACCCCTGGTAGAGACTCCTAAGGAGTCTCCACGCCCGGTGAGACATAGTCACGCCCGGCATTACCAGAAACCGAGAAAGCTAAGTTACTTACTGATATCACGCCCAACGTGGTCCAACCACGCCCGATGTAGGCCATCCAGAGGCTCCCATTCTCTAACTCGCCCGACGCACACAACCTTGCGCCCCGCGGGCTTGCCTAATAGAGCCTTTTGATGGTCACACGCCCGACATGATACCAAGCAGCAACCCTCCAAGTTCGGAAATTTTCATCAATACCTGCCCAAACAACCAGATAATCCACATGCAAACCACCTAAAATGCCACATTTTCATCAACCAACATAAAACCCACAGCTTTTCCCACATGCAACCATCAAAACATGAAAAACCCAAATTTTTACCCAAAACCCCGAAAATGAAATTTCTTCAACTCAGCACCTCAATCATCCAACATCAAACAACTAATGAGTTTCTAACTCGTTTCCAATCAATCCAGCAAAAACCTAGCTTCCCTTACTTCGGTCAAGAGATTCTGAGTTCCGGGACAGCGGGAAGAGAAGGAGAAGAACGAATGGAGAAGAGAGACGGAGAAGGAGAAGTCCACACCCTCAGCTAGCTTCCAGCACTCTTAATCAGAACCTAGAGAGAACAAGGAAAGGAAGGAAACTCAGAAGAGAGAATGGAGGCAAAGAGAGTGAGAGTGAAAGTGAAGGAGAGAAAAGGGGAAGCGAAAATGGGGTCTCACATCTTACTTATGTTAGTTCTTTTTAAAAAAAATTTACTTTAATTATTTATTTTATTTTTAATTTAAAAACTCTAAATTTTAATAATAATAAAATAAATTATTTTTTATCACACAAATTTTAAAAAAACTTGTACATATATTTTAAAATATATTTATTGATTTATTTAAAATTAAGTTAATTAATCTATTTATTGTTGTTAATGTAAAATAAATTTTTAAATAAATTAATAAATTATGTTAAATTTTTTGAAAAAGTCAAATCAAACTTATAATTTATTTTTATAATGGATAATAAATTAAACTTAAACTTTAATTTTATAAAATATATTCGATCTATATATTTCAAACTGACCTATTTGCATTCTTTTGATATAGGTCATAAATAAAATATTTTCAAAATTATTTATTTCATGAAATCATGTTATATATGTTTCTCAATTTTAGTATAACTAAATTTTTATTTTTATTTAATAAAAAAAAGTCATTTTTTATATTAACTTTTATAATAGTTATTTTTAAAAAATTATATTAACCTTAATTTTTATTAATTAATAATATAAAAAAATTTATGATACATAATTTTGTATATTTTTTATCCTCATCTTAAAAAGTAATAATTTTATATTCTTACAAAAATAAATGTTATTTTCTAACGTTACTTCTTACATTTACTATATTCTATTTTAGATTTTATGATTTCTTTAAATATTTAATTTCCGTAGTAAAATAAGTTAAAAATATTCCAAGAAAACAATTAATACTTATCCAACATATTTTGATTAGAGTATTTAAGCAAGTTTAAAAGTATTCCAAAAATGAACAAAGTTTATGAAAAGAGAATATTATTGTTAGTAATTGATAATACTTCCATTACCAGAGAATATATTTAAATGAAACTAATGTAGACATGAATGTATATTTACATATTCACCCTTTACGCATGCTAGCAAAATGTCTCCGTGTTTTTTTACTTTTTTTTTTTTTTTGAATTTATTTTCCTTTTATTTATTTTGTAATATTTTAATTTTCTGTCAACCTCTTTGAATCTTTGTACTATTAAGTTGAACTCGAAGAAGGAACCTTGCAAAAACGAAGACTACTCAATCAACAACGAAACTTCACTTTGCAACAGAGAAGATAACGCGCACACGCTTTAGCAAAAAAAATCATCTCTCTATATTTGTTTTCTCTTTCTTTCCCTCTCTATATTTTCCGTCATTTTCCCGAGAAAATCTCGTCAGGTAAAAACCGATGCTCTCTCGCTCCATCACCGTCGCTCCTCGCTCTTCAACATTGCTACTCTCCTTGCTTTTCCCTCGCTCCTCGCACTTGTTCGCGTTGATTCTTTCTGTTTTTGCTTTTTTCTGTTCGAGATTCTGGTTCATGCCGCTGGATCTGTTTGATTCTGTCTCTGCTTGCTTTGCACTCGGATTCTAGCATGTGAACTTCTTTCCAAAATTGATTAACGGTTTATTTTTGTTTAGTGTTAGTTTTGTTCTTTGCAATTTCGGAAATGATGCTTGATTTTTTCTTTTTTGGACAACACCTACTGGTGGTTGAAACTCAATTTATGAAATATGATTTTCTTTTTTTTTATTTATTTATATTTTTTTGTTTAATTATTTAAGCAGATTTGGTTGTTATTAATGTAAAGCGAAACGGCGGATGGAGTAGGATGGAGTATGATCCGCGTTTAAATTTATAATAATTGAGCAGCCGGATTTTTGGTTATTTAATTTAATTCAAAGTAACGCATCGTTTGTGTTCAATTGAATTTTTATTTTCTCCATGTTAATTAAACTGTTGAAAAATAGTTATGCGTATTATTATTATTTTTTATTGTTTCATCTTGATTATAATTTATGGAGTCAAATATAGTGCAAATGGACCTACTTTTTATAATAACGAATGTTGTAATGTTATGTTGGCCTGATGGTGGTTGATTTGCCTTGTGAGGGCATTGACCAATGAAAACCTGTTAGGTGCTACAATACTTTATTTGAAGTTGAAGCAATTTTTCCTCAATTATATGATGATAGGGTTCATGGAAAATATTTTCTCTAGGTGATACTAGCGATGGAATACGTGAAGCCGTGATAAATCTGAAGTTTGTGTTGCAAAGAAAATTGACCATGATCCGTATTACTTAGTGGGGGTGTAAAACTCCAACTGTTATTGAGATGATGTTTGAATCCACTTATTATTGTTGAACTTGATATAACTGATATTATATGTACTCCATATTCTCTCTAGAAACGTTACGGATTAGATAGATTTTTTTAAAATCTATTACAGCACCTGTGTGTGGTGTTTGCCTTCTATTGTAAGTTAGTTTCCTAGAAAATAGGTGTTAATTTTCTTTGAGTGAGAACAAATCACATGTTTGCTTTGGTTTATATTAATCATTCCAGAACATTGTGGTTGAGTTGTTTTATGCACAGTATTTAAAAGAATAATTTTGTTTTGTTCTGACTACAGGTCCAGCATGTTAGCTAATGCTTTCCAAATAATTTTCATGGGGGATATCTCAGCTTTAATCACAAGCTTCCAAGGGCTGATAGTTTTCATTGAACTCTGATTATCAGTTACATATCAGGACTAAAAGAAAGAAGTGATTCTTGTGCATATAATCAGTAAAAGTTTTCCTACAGGTGTTTCTTTGAATCTGATAAGAAGAACTTATACTATCTGCAATTCTGCATCCCTTATTTTCTTCTACATGTATGAAAGATAATGATCAATTTGGTAGTAGTTGGGCATCCCTATGATCTAGTGCAGTGAAGAATCAGGACTATTGCTTTGTTCATAGATCATCAAAATGAAAAAGTTGTATGGAGGAGTTCTGGTTGCCTCACTGTTTATGTTGTTTATGCTTATGATCCTGCGATATGGGGTCATGAAAAATCCTATTGTTGAAGGTTATCTGACTATACCTGCTGCTGTTGTTAATGGTACTAATCCTCTTAAGTGGATAAATCCCACAGTTCCGCCTGCTATTCAAAATCCAGATGATCGTTCTCAAGTTATTTCTTCTGATATTTTAGTATCTAGCCTATTTGCTGGGAACAACTTTTCCAAAGAAGAGCAACAAGCTCTGCAGACATGGAAACAATTGAACCACTTAATTGATCATACTCAGGGTTTACCCAATGCGGCAGAAGCTATCAAGGAGGCTGCCAGTGCATGGAATAGCCTTATTTCCTCAATTGAAGAGCAAAAACAAGGTCATGCAAATGATAGTTCAAGAACTAAAGAGAAGCAGTGTCCCCATTTTCTTAATAAAATGAATTCCACTGAACTTGGTAATAGTAGTTACAAAATGCAAGTACCATGTGGCCTGACACAAGGTTCTTCCATCTCTATAATTGGAATTCCAAATGGTCTTCTAGGTAATTTTCGAATTGACTTGACTGGAGAACCACTTCCTGGGGAGCCTGATCCTCCAATTATTTTACACTATAATGTTCGCCTTCATGGGGATAAAATCACTGAAGATCCCGTAATTGTCCAAAACACCTGGACTATAGCTCATGATTGGGGTGAAGAGGATCGTTGTCCATCCCCTACTCCTGAAAAGGTTGAGAAAGGTGAAACACTATTCTCATTTTTTAGTTCAACACCTATAGAAATTTGTGTTCATAATTGAAATGGAAGTTTCTCTCACTGCTAAAGTGTGTTTGTATACTAGAGTTGGCAATATGGAATTCTCAAATCGAAGATACTCAATTTTTTTTGCTTAGTTTTCATATTCTATTGATGTTGGAAAATAGATACAATAGAATTGAATCATATCCACATGAAACTCAATTGTTTGTAAAAATGTTTTATATCTTGTCCTGTTCTTCTTTCCAATTAAATTGTACTGCCAAAGCATTATCTGTGTGGTTTTTCCTGCTCCAGAAGTTGTGCAGAGTTCCATTACTACCTGTTTTTGTATAACTACTGGATGTCCTTTGTTTATTATTGCTGCTTCTTTTATCAGTTGATGATTTGGAGCAGTGTAATAAGATTGTGGGAAAGAACATTAGCCACTCGGCCGGCATGCATTCCCACAGTTCAAGGCAATCTTCAACAGCTGAAGAACAATCAATAAATAGGAAATATTTTCCTTTTAAGCAAGGTTACCCATTTGTAGCAACTCTTAGAGTGGGATCTGAGGGAATCCAGATGACAGTTGATGGAAAGCACATAACTTCATTCGCTTTCCGTGAAGTACTTTCTTTCTCGTTTTTTATTTTTTATTTTTAACATTGAAATTTTGAATACTTTTATGTTTTATTATGTTGACTCATTCAACTGGTTACATGTCAGACTTTGGAGCCATGGCTTGTCAGTGAAATAAAAATCTCAGGGGACCTCAAATTAATATCTATTCTTGCCAGTGGTCTGCCCACATCAGAGGATTCAGATCATATTATTGATCTAGAATCATTGAAATCAAGTCCTATATCTGAACAGAGCCCATTGGATCTCTTTATCGGTGTTTTCTCTACTGCCAACAATTTTAAGCGTCGGATGGCTGTTAGAAGAACCTGGATGCAGTATAATGCAGTTCGATCAAATAAAACAGCTGTGCGCTTCTTTGTTGGTTTGGTGGGTATTGTTTGCGATTTTCTCACATGATTCTAAATATTAGTTATTGGGGAAAAATCACGTCACCAAATCATTATATAAAATTATATTTCTCAGTCTTTTTATAAATTGGGACTTGGGAGGTCTTCCAACTTATCTCATTTTGTAGTGAAAGTTGCTTAAATATTTTCTTCTATTGGAGCATTTGTTTTCAGTATCTTTGCACTACCGTAGTATCATAGCGTTTTCATTCTGATAAAGATCAAGCTGGGCTTGATATTTTGCTACTTTTAGAAATTCCCTGTAAATATGGTCTTACGTGTAGACTTTTACTGAGTTTTGGTCTTTTGTTTGAGCGGATGCAGCATAAAAGCCCTATAGTTAATGAAGAGTTGTGGAGAGAAGCACAAACTTATGGAGACGTGCAGCTAATGCCATTTGTTGATTACTACAGCCTCATCACTTGGAAAACTTTAGCAATCTGCATTTTTGGGGTAATGTTTTGTCTCTTCCTTCGATAGGGAGCATCCTTCCTATGTCTCATTGAAATGATCTCTTCAACAGACACAAGTTTCAGCTAAGTTTGTCATGAAGACAGATGATGATGCATTTGTCCGGGTAGATGAAGTGCTACATTCTTTGCATAAGATCAATGTCGATCATGGGTTACTATTTGGACTCATCAACTCAGATTCCCGACCTCACCGTAGTACAGATAGCAAATGGTACATCAGCCCAGAGGTAGGGATATTTTTCTCATTGAAGAATTTTATATCTACTGCTCCATGTGTTGTCTGTGTTATTAGTTTCTCATTAAAATTTTATTACATATAATTTTAAAAATGGTTATTATTAGCTTATGTGATATGCAACTCTGTTAGCGAGTCTTGCAAGTGTGTGCTTAGGGGTTGAAAAAAAACTCAACTGAATTGAACTATAATCCAAAATTGAGCTGTACTGGATTATAAAAATCAAATTGATTTTAGAAAAAATTGAACCGAGCCACTTTATAAAAAAAGTTCGATTAAGTGAATCACTTTTTTTGGGTTGGTTTGGCTTTTTTCAAAAATCAAATCATATGAGTATAAAGTGGATAATCAAACAATATCGAACTCAACTAATTTGAGAAAAAAATCCCACCAATTTTTAAAATTAAACTGATTCACTTTATAAAAATATCTAAGTGGTTTTTATAAAATGATCCTGTTTGTGCTCTATTTATAAGGATGATAATTTCCCGTGGTTGGATTGAAACTTGATTCTTCGTCAACAGGACATGGATAAATTACCTTTATATCAGTTCCCACTTGTTCAAGTTACACTATCATAAACTCAATTATAAATGGACCAACTTAAAACAGGACTGAATTGCTGCTTGCTAGTTGCTATACTTCAACTTTTGGGTGCTTCCATTTTTTTTGTCCTCGTGTTTTTCTTGTCTACCTACGTTGAACAACTAACATACGATTACCTAATTGCTTGCTTACCTTAAAGGAATGGAGCGAGGGAACTTATCCTCCTTGGGCACATGGTCCCGGCTATGTGGTCTCACAAGATATAGCAAGGACGTTGTCCAAGAAATTCAGAGAGAACCATTTGAAGGTAAATAGCAAAATCCGTTACTTGTTGAAAACTGTTTGTATAGTTGCAAGTGCGTGAAACTTGTCTGTTTTGTATAAACAAAAGCATTGTTGACATGTTTGAACACTGAATAATGAATTTAAACTCTGACAGATGTTTAAATTAGAAGACGTTGCAATGGGAATCTGGATCGCAGACATGAAGAAGGAAGGTCTAGAAGTTCGGTATTCAAATGAGCCGAGAGTGAATGTTGAGGGTTGTAAGGATGGTTATGTGGTTGCTCATTACCAAGGCCCCAGGGAGATGCTCTGTTTGTGGCAGAAACTTGAGGAAGGAAAAGGTGCAAAATGCTGTGGTGATAGGAAATGATTACTCATTGACCAGGTTACAACTTCTGAAAAAATCCCCCTTTTGTATGGTTGGGGAGCTTGTATAATGACTAGAATAGTTAGCTTAGTCAGAAATTATTAGAGTAGTTAATAGTGGAGCATATTCGTTTTTAAGTAAATCTGATGATTTGTTCTGCCTAGAGAGGGTGTGTGAGAGATTTGTATAGAGCCGCCAATCAGAATTAGGTTATCAGATTTTATGTCACCTGATCAATTTTTTGATTCAGAACGCATCATTATAGAAAGACCTCAAATTTTTTTATTTTTATCTCCTACTTTAGTTTCTCTCACGCATAACAATTATTTTGCAATATAAAAATATTTAATATATAATATAATAAACAGTATTTGTAATTCTTTTATGAATAACATTGATTATAAATTGTTAAAATTTTAATATATAACTATTAATAAACGGAATACTTTTTTAAATAACCCCTTTTGTGTCTATATTTTGTTGAACTTTTTTTTCTTTTTTTATTCAATTATATAATAATTCTCTACATATATATATATATATATATATATATATATATATATATATACGTAGAGAGAGATAGAATTGAGGTAGAAGTGTCTTGGTCTCTCTCTTGATAATAATTGTAATTTTTAGGCTTAATTTTATTTTTGATCTATCAAGTATTGTAATTATGTAATTTTAATTATCAAAAGTTTAATTGAGTAATTTTAATTGTCAATTATTGTAGTTATGTAATTTTAATCTCTTAAATTTAAATTACACAATTTGAGTCTCTCAAATATCACAATTATAGTTAGTTCACTCAATAATTTATTATAAATTAAATTTTAACAATTTAATTATTGAATTATTTTTTTATTAAAATTATTAAGTATAAGTTTTTATAAAGTTAGAAAATTATTTGATAATTTGTTACGTAAATTTAAATTAATGTTTATTCATAAAAAAATATTATATGTTAATTTGTTACAATAATATATTTCATTTTAACTCTTATTTTTAAGGGTGTTCATCGATTTGAGTCAATAATGTTGGAGTTCAAGTATAAAGTAAGTCTCATATTGTTTTAAGTTTGACTTGTTGAATAGTATATAAATGAGAAAAATTCATCTATTTAATACTTTAAGGTTTTAGATTACATTATGATGTCAAATTCATATGTGAAATTAGCAAGATGGGACATCCATTGTGTACTAATGGTGATGCAAGTAGCTAGGCCAAGTGTTGTAAGTCCCACATTAGTTAAAGTTGGACATGTTGAGTATAATATATAAGAAAGAAAGATTCACCTACCTAATGTCTTAAAGTTTTATGTTATGTTATAGTTTCAAACTTACTTATATGATTTATTTACTATCCATTGTTGTGCTCTCCGGTATTAAAACTCCCTAACAAACAACACAAATTCAATGAATTTGTTTGGATTTTTTCACCGCTTGAATTGAACTTGAACCAAATCAATTGAAATTTAATGTTGATCGGGTGTTGTATTTACTTTTGAAATTCAAATTAAACCAACTATTTATTTATTATTAATTTTATTGTTTAATACAATAAATATTGTATCACTTTGAAGCATTTCTTATCATTTAAGTTCCACATTGAATGTTTTACAAATAAATTCTCACAATTGAATTTTTTTCTCCTTGAATTTTTGTCAATTTTTATTTTTACTCCTTGGAAAAAAATTTTATTATTAATTTTAATCCTCAAACTTTTATTGACCAACACTTTTAGTTTTTGAATTTTTCATTCTATTAACATTTTTGATAGGTCTATAAAAAACAGGCTAGTTTGACCTATTTGGCCTGACTCATATCAACCCACTTTATAAGTGAGTTGACTCGGCTTGCTCTACTTGCATTAATGTCTAAAATTTTCCAGTTCAGTCTAACCCACCAATCCACCTATTTTATTTATTTATTTTTAAAAAATTCTAACTTAAAATAAAATTCAATCTAAAATATCCTCCTATATAAAATAAAAATTATCAAATTAACCACCATGTATATAACATTAAATTTAATTAAAAAAGTGCACAACTTTAAATAATCAAAAACAAAAATTCTTGTCATTGGGATGACTATCCATTAATATTAAACTTCATTAAAGACTTGAATAGATAAATTTTTAGCAATTTCATGTTTAACATCAACTTTATATTTATCTATAAAGAAAATAACATCTTGTTAAAATGATATATATATATATATCAATAAATGGTTAAGTGAGTCATTGATGAGTTGGACTAATGAGAGGTGTAAATAGGTTAGGTGAGTAGTTCGACCCATCACGAGTTTACCCCGAGTGATTTGAGTTGAATTTTTCAGCCAATTATGAAGTTCTTGACTTTTTTGACTTGACCCAACTTGTTTTTAAGGTTAGTCCGATTGGTCCACCGGTTAAAGTTTACTTTGATAGCTCTAAATTTTTGTCTTTGACTTTAAGATTTTTTTGTTCATAAAAAAAAATTAGGAACTAAAACTATATAAAGTTTGTTCAAGTAATAAAAAGTGAAAATTGACAAAAATTTCATAGATTAGGAACATTTAATTCTTTCGTAAATCATTGATGTAGAACAAGCAACTATTCCTTATGACAGGTATACATTAGGATTCAAATAAGTATATTATTTTGTCATGAAGAATGTCAGACGTTTCAAAGTTTATCTTACAATAATGATCAACCACGCGAGATCGCCACCCAATATTCTAGTTTCTAGAAAAGTGATCATGTCCTAACCTAACAAGATCAACTTCAACATAGGAGTTCTTTATAATCAAGTGTTTCACAAAAGGGCAGCAATATCAGCTACAAAACTATCTTGGCAAGAATCCATAACTTGAAATGGCAATCTCAAAGGCTTGTAGCCTTTCTCCACGACGGACGCCATTGCGATCATAGGATGATATTTCATTTATATTGAGATCAACACAAGCTTTGACAAGTGCCTCCCCAACACGTTGAGCAGCTTCCTAGAATCATGACATGCCAAAGCATAACAAAATCCAAAGCAAAAGCATAATGAGACCCCAAAAAAACATAGGAAACAGAAAACGATCCATTCCATGTTGTAACACTAAACACTTTAATTTAATTGTTATTAATTGTGTTGAATTTCGCATTGGGTTGTTGAAAATTTCTTTGGACAGAGGTTTAGTTTGATCCGAAAGGTAAAGATATATAAGGTTCATTTTGAAAATTAAGTTTTATAAGTTCATTTATCTGAAAACCTAGAGAGAGAGAGTAATGAGAGAGACTTTGGAGATTTCTAAACTACTTCTCCCTTGTTTCCCAAGAGATTTAGAGGACCTTGTTTGAGTGGTGATCCAAAGCAGTAGACCTGAGGATTGTTGTTGGTGTGGAATTTTCTCGAAACTCGGAGGTTTGGAGTCTTCAAGTTGTGCAGAACTCATTCATCTTCTTCTTCCTCTTTTCTCTCGGATTTGGAGACTTTGAGATAAGATAAGTTAGAATTGAAATTGTTATCAAGTGTTGAGTTTCAATGTATGAATGAAGTGTTATTTTATTCGTTGGATTCAGATTGAATAATTGAGTTTGTTAAGTTTTGGTATTTTGAATGTGTTGAGAAAAGTTGATGATTTGTGGTGATCTCTAGTTGCGTGTTGGATTTCTTGTTGAATATGAATTATTGGAGTTGTATATATGTTGTTTGATGCTTTGCATGCTTGAGATTTGTTGGTTTTCAAGTGGGTTCAGCCCGTGAGTTTGCAAATGCAAAACTCACCGTCACGTCGGACGCTTCTTCATAGCATTGGGTGCAGTTCAATTAATGACACTCTTTTTAACTCACGTTGAATGCATGATTGGTAGCATCGGGCATAAAGAGAGAAAATTGTCTTGAGTTGAATTGACATTGAGCATGGTTTGAATAATACTAAGTGAGGTGAGAAAATTGACTCTACTTGGATTGACGTTGGGTGCTAAAGGAGTGGCATCAGGTGTGAGGAAAGAGAATCGTTTGGGTTCGAATCATGTCAAACACCAATGGAGTGACATTGGGTGTGGATCGACTCGAGGCCCTCTACTTGGTTGGAGCTGGCCGTGAACTTTTGCCACGCCAAGTGTGAGGTCCCAAGGGTCTCTATCTAATCCACACTAGGCACCAGTTGAATGGCATTGGGCGTAGGCGAGGTAGAGAATCTCTGCCTCATATGGCACTAGATGCAGGTTGAATAGCGTCGGGCGCAGATTGTATTTTTTTAACTTGTTATTTTATGAAGTTGGTGAACATGTATAGCATAGTTGGTTCTATTATATGTTGTTTAGTTGAATGGTTTGAAAGATATGTTGAGTTGCATGATGTTGAATTGAGTAACTGTGTTGAGATTGCTTTGCCATTAATGTTGTACTGTGTTGATCGACCTAAGATTAGAGGAGAAATTGTTTTAAAGTTGTATATCCTATTATGAGGGTATTGTGTTGAGGTGCTTCGAGAGTCCAATTTGTTAAAAATCTTCTTGGAAAGTTGACCCTTAAGGTAGATAGTTGAGTCTCTTCTAAAACCTTAGTTGATGCGTTATGTGGGCCAAGTCGAGACATATCGACTATAAGCGACCAATGTTAATTTATGTGTGAACAAGATTGAGACATACATGTATAAAGCAACCAAATTAGAATAAGGTACAAGGTCCGAGATTAAAATCCCTAACTAAGTATTAGAAGGGTGTAGTATTAGAAGGGTAGTTGGTGGGCTAATTTCATATATGACTTAGTTATGCTAGTTAATGTTATAGTAAGCTCACACCCAAGTTGTTTTACCTTGATAGTAATATTAGACTTCCTAGTTTAAGTGACAACATTCATGAAATCATGTTGTCAGGGATTGATATCCCAATTGGTTGTTAATCTAACTAGATTAAAAAGATCGAGTTATTAGTTTTATAGGATCAAGCCACTTAAATTGATCACCTATATTGTAGGATATCTCATAGTTGAAAATACGTGACGACACATATAATTACTATATTGTGCATATGATGTGTTGGTTGAATTATGTTGTTCACATTTGATGATTGACTTGTGATGAGATGTGATGTTGAGTGGTTTAAGTTGAAAAACATGCTTTATTTTGTTGAAAGGTTGTAAATTAATATTGTGTTGTAGAATGTTGAGTTGTTTATGTAAATTTTTTGAACTTTAACTTATCTTTATATAGTTTATGTGATTGAATTGCAATGACCATATTTAATATGAGAGTAAAATAAGGATAAATTATGGTTGGAGATCTTTGGAGGCCATATCTATTGGTGGAGTTGTTGATTATGGAGTTACCTCTATGTAGCTATTTGTGGTTGTATTTAGTAGGTTGGACTAACTATTAGGATTATTATTTATTATTTAGATCATTGTATATATTTATATACTTGTATAAAATTCTATTTTGTTGAAAATTCTTACATGTATATATTATAGTATTTTTTCCCAAATATGTTTAGAATAATAATTTTAGATTTAGTTGATATTTTTACAACTAGTTGTGAATCGTTAAGTGTAAGGTCATGGTGGGTCATTACTCATGTCTCATGCAATGTTTGTCGGTGAGAAGAGGTGGACTACTTACAAGAGTGCTACAAGGAGGATCTTCTCGGATAGATTTCTGCAATGTGCTTCCGTAGAACAAACACTTTTTATTTTTGTCATCTACTAGCATTGCATATAATTGCTTATCTGAGCAAAATACTGAAAGCCTTGGCTGTGTAGCTGTTCCATTATACTGAAAAAAGATGAAATCATCCATGGTATTAGTAGCTGATGGAGAGAAACTTGGTACTTGGCAGTTAATAGTGGAGAACCATACAACTGAAGGAACTCAAAATCATAGTTCAAGTTTCTTTTATCAATGTTGCAACAGCCTATCTCCTGTTATAAGATTCAAGTAAAACATTACGATATGTATCTCTATATTTTAAGGGACTCTAGGAATTAGGAAAAGAGACAATTCACAAAAAGAATTTACTGAATCTGCCGTAGCTATCAGGGAAAAAATGGGATGACATGACATGTTTTACTAATGATTACATGGAATAAGGTAAATGGCATGACAACACGTATTCCCTATGGAATGTAAAATGTGTCTGCACAACACCTTAATCATGCAAAATATAAAGAGATTTGGCTTCAAATAGACATAATACAAAAGGTGAAAAGATATAACAAAGACATACCTTTTTCTGCATCCTTCTGTTCCGAATTTTTGCACTTTCTGTTCTAGTATTTGCTCTGGCTTCAATCACCAAAGGTTTCTTAGTTATACCTGTAGGAACATTCAAAGGTAATCAATATCAAAAGTCACATATAACATCATATCCATGTACAAACATTGTGACTAATTCTGAGCATATTACTGGCATCCCCGTTATAAAGTCAATTGTCTTACATGTGAACATATTATAAGTGAGACCAAAATCTCAAACACAACAAAAATCTCAAGCACAAAATGTGTCAGACTAATTTTTTGCTGAACTTACTACTATTTTGTGTCTCAAAGCATATAAACGATTTTGGATGAATTCCAAAGAGAGCAGAATTCTTAAACTGTAGCGTTGGAGCATTCACTGAAGCCATATTGTGCATAACTCAAAGCACCGTGTGAACTGCAAAAACACCAAAACTCGTGTTACAAATACATATGCAAAAATGAGTTCCTAACAGGAATTTTAACAAACAGTTAATGCGCAGGTTCATAAAAGCTGCAGCCTTGTTCAAATTGGTTAGGCAGTGAAGGAAGCAGTGACCTATGTTGAATTAAAAATGGCAATTGATGACCAGATTACGTTAGCATTAATATTATTTTTGTAATTTCAAATGGGTCTTCAAATGGCAGAATGATCGTATTCCTAAAAGTGAAATAAGAAGCATGAATATGAATAATTCATGCTTGTCTTGTTCCCCGAATCACATGTGCTGCTTCCTTTATGACTTATGGCATGATGATAATTGGTATGCCACATGTAATCGTAAGTGATGACTTAACCCTTCATTTGCCATATCACATGAAAATCTCAATAAAAATAAGTTTGAAAAAAAAATAAAAATAATAATATATAATAAAACCAAACCTTTAGATCTAGATTTGAGAATTTTCTGAAATTTGATTACCTACAATTTAAATTACTAATATTTCATTACAGCAGAAAAAGTAAAGGGGATGTATTGAATTAGGATTTTAAATGACTTTTTTAGTTAAAAAAAAAATCCTGCAGATTTCAAAAGACTTTGTAGAATTTTCATGACTTTTAAGATTTTGCAGGATTCTACGACTCTTAAAATCAGGATTTTAATGGATTCTGCAAGACTTTTAAATCAGGATTTTAATAGATTTTGTGGGATTTTGTAAAATTTTCTTGGATTTTTGACATTTGATAAGATTTCAAAAAAAAAATTCATACATTCAAATTTAAAAAAAGTCAAAGATAAAAATAATAAAAAATAATAATGTCTAGATAAATAATAATAATTCTCCATAATATCCTATCCTTTTAAATAGTATTCACCCACATATCTATAGTTATACTAGTCCTCCAAGCATTAACGTCTTTTCGTTCTTGCTCCTGGGTTTGAATAATAGGCTCAAAAGTATGATTTTCATTAACTGGTAGCGTTGAAGATGAAGGTTCATTCACCGCTTCAATTGGAAATTCATCAGAACAATATTCTTTACGTAGAAAGTTATGTAGTGCGCACATACTAACACAAGTTCTACTTGTGTCTTAAATAAAAATGGAGGTGCTGACTTAAAAATTATGAACCTTGATTTAAAAATATCAAATATTCTCTCGATCACATTCCTTAAAGACGCATGATGAAGATTGAACAATTCTTTCTCATTTTCAGGGTCATTACCTTGACCTGCAAAATCTTGTAGATGATATCTTACACCTCGAAATGGAGCTAAAAATTGGCATCGATTAGGAAATCCACAATCCACCAAAAAAATATTTACCTAATTACATATCCAATATATATAATATTAGTATAATAATAATAATTATAATAATAATTTTTTTTGAGAGGATAATTATTATTATTTAAAGAATAAGAATTTAAATATGGAGAATATATATATATTTAGATATAGAGAATATATATATATATATATTATTTTAGTTATATATTATATGATAATTTTTAACGATATTTATAAATGTAAATTATTTTAACAAATATTTTAACAATATTTCTCTTTTTAAAAAATAAGCTAATGAAGGCATAAATCCTAAATCCTAAAAAATTAGATACTGCAATGTTTTATGTTAATTTTTTTTTAATATAAAAAGTCTTAATTTCAGAATATAAGAATAAAAAGAAAAATTCATAGAAAAAAATAAAATAATTGTTGAGTCATAAAAAGAGGAGGGATAAGAATAACAATCTTAAGGGAAGGAGAGAGATCGCAGTTTTTATGCTGAGAGGGTTCTTCCCCCAACCAAGATCTATTTTCATCTCATTCTACTCATAGAAACCCTAACAAATTCATCTTATATATGTAGAGATTATGATATCAATTTCATCTTTCACCTTTTTCTTTTCTTGACGTGTGTTATAAAAAAAATTACCACTTAAAAATTGAAATTTCAAACATTTTTTGTGTTATATAAAGGAACAAATTCAACTACATAGAATAAAATAAAGCAAGTCAATTAAAGAGAACAAACAGAAAAACAGAGCAAGTCAATGACACTATCATTTACATATCGAAGTTTCACAAAATAGGGGAATGAGATGAGAACAGTACTACAATATTATATATGAGCAATGAACAATAATGCAATATTATTAACAGAGAAAAAATGGAGAAGATAGGAGCATAGAAAAAAAAAAGATGAAAAACTTACTTGAAAATTCTTGAAAAGTCACTTCAAATAATTCTTCAAAATCCGATGGGTTTGGATGGATTGTTTTATGAATTTGGTATTTATAAATAACACTAGAAAGTCCTTCAGAATCCCTCTCACACAACAATCCTTTAAAATCCTTATATTTTTGAATACCAATAGATTGTTTTTAAGTTGTAAAAAATCTCAAATGAATACTAATGGATTTTAATGGACTCTTTAAAAAATCTTCAAAATCCAAATTGAATACCACTGGATTGTTTTTAAGTGACATAAAATCCTGATTGAATACTAATGAATTTTTTTACTCAAAAAAAGTCTTTTAAAATCCTACGTAATCCTAAACCAATACACCCCCTAAATTTCTAAAACTAAAATATATGTTTCTCGCAAAATCTAATTTGTATAGAAAAGAAAAATAAAATGGCAGACTTACAAGTTGGAGTGAATAAAGAATTTAATTACGTGCAAGATTAACTAAAATAATTAAACTAAATAATGAGTACTTTAACTAATTTAAGCTTGTATTTCTCTCTTTTAAATTACTTGAAATTTAATTTGCTTCTAAAAAAATCAATTATTTTTAAACTATAATATGAAGAGAAGAAAAAAAACTTGTACAATTATACATAAAATGGAACCCACTCAATGAAGCATATCTGGATTGGTTGCCAGTTTTTATGTATAAATTGTAATATATAAATAAATATTATATATTTTAATATATAAATTTTGTATTAATTTTAAATTTATATAAATAAATATTTTAAATCTATAAATTATGTTTTATATTTATAAAAATTAATTTATATTATGATCAGTATTTTTGAAATTTATTTTTAAATAATTAAATTTGATTTAAAAACATATGACAAATACAAACTGAAATAAATAAGAAGCTGAAAAAAATTAAGAATGTTTCCATGGAAGAAAAAGTCTTTAAAATATTTTTTTAAAAAAAAAAATCTCCAAAAACATTAACACTCAATACCAATACGGGTAAAGAAATGTACATATTGTATTTTAAAAAGATCAAAATTATATTAAATTATTATATTTAATAAATGTTAAAAAAAAAAAAAAAAAAACAAATGTATAATAATTATATGCAAGATACATACATATGTTTGTGATAAATTAGAAAAAAATGATAATACATTGAATTTTGTTGTGATTTTAATTTTTTTAGTTTACTGTCTCATTAAAAAGGAAATGTATGATGTTTTTGTTTTACACTAATTTTAAAATTAACACGATTATAAGATTAAGAGACTAATTTAACTTATTTAGACCTCGTTAAAAATGGGCTAAAATAGACTGACTTGTCAAATAAAAATAGATTAAATATTTTGGTTTGTATCACTTAAAGGTAGATTAGCAAGCCAATAAATTAGCCACATATCTAACATTGCAAAATTTAAAATAAGATTTTAAATAAATTAAATTTTAATTGTTTACTATTTTACTACTATATATTGTAATGAATTTCAGTTTTCTACCAATGGACAATTAATTTAGCTACTTCTACACCGTAACACACTTTACTCGATCTATGTTTTTGAACTTGAGTTATTGTTGTGCTTGTGAGCATGCTTGGGAAATATTACAAATTGAACAATGTCGAAAAAAATATTAAAATAAAGTAAATTATAAAAGTGTTACTGTATTTTTAGTTCTCTTGTTTTATTAAGTTTGTACATTTTTTTTCTTATTTTTTTTAAACATAGTCTTGTTATATTTTAATTATATAATTTTAATTTATTTATTTATTTTAACATTTTAAAAAAATGATGTAATAATATATAGTAAGTGTCAATTAAAATTACCGGACCTCTATGTTTAGTGGTTATAAAATGTCTCAAGATTCAGAAAGTCAGACTCATATTTTCAATACCAATTTTCATTAATATTAAAATAATAATTGACCAAAAAATAGATACAAATATTAAATGTTAAATCAACAAATAAGCTAGAATTACATAATTAAAATAAAATGAATTAAATTAAAAAAACAAAATTGTAAAATTAAGAAACCAAAAATTATAATTAAGATAATTGAAAACTTCACAAGATATACTCTTATGAAATTTAACAAATTTTTAATTTGATTCAAGTTCGATCTTAACTTTTTTTTTTTTTTTTCAGTTTGAACTTGATTCAATTCAAGTTTTTTAACAACTTGATTTAGTTTATTAGTTTGAATCATTTAAATTAAGACTCAATAATCAATATTTTTGAATTTTATGTATTTTAAAATTTTAATTTAATAATAGATTTTTAATAAAATAATGTTTATTTTTTTAAAAAAATAAGATATAACTTTATTTTATTAATTTTGTAATAATAAGTACAACTATAAAAATAATATGATTATAATTAAAATCTATATAAATTAAACCTACTTCACGTTATACAAAATAATACAAAACTCAATTCATAATCGTAAAATTCTAAAATATTTATTTATTTTATTATTATTAACTTATAACTACATTTTAAATGTTCTTTAAACTTTAATAAATTAATACTAAAATAAAAAATTATATATATAAATTATATATTTATATATCGAATCAATTTATAAATTAAATAAATCGAATTCTACACGATTCAACTTCGACTATTTTTTTTATTTATCAAACTCAATCTTAATTCAAATTTAACATATTTAATCTATAAATGAAATTCAACAAATAAATTATCAAATTAAAATTTAAACTATTTTCAAGTTAGTTTCAACAACTCTTACACTATAAACTCTTTCTTATAAGTTCCTATCATAAATCTCTACCACACATTTTTTATAATTAAATCAACTATCATAAATCCCCACCGCCCATTTTTCATAATTAAATCAATAAATATTATTGCTTGCACCATCAAAATGGCTTAAATATTTTTAATGACAGTTATAGAAAACTCCGACAAATATAGATAATTAACAAATGACAACTTCTGTACAATTTGTATTTTACAACTATGGGATAATTTGTTGGCAGCCTCCACAGAGATCTTGACAATGATTTTTTCTCCAAAATTTGTTTTACTTATGACATATGGCATTTTTATTTTAAACGATTTAGTCTACCTAATTACAGTAACTTCTAGACAAAACTAGATTTTATATGCAAGAAAAAAGGGACATTAAATTCAACTATAACTCGGATTTTTTAAGAGATTTTTTTTTTATAATATTGATTTGTTTACTTGAAAACTAAAACTTTAGAATATAGTAGTTGGTACAATTTGGGCATTATTATTTGCCACCCAGCTGTCCAAAGAATGATGATCAGCAGCTAATTAGAAGCATTTGAATATGTCACAAATACAAACGGCACCATATCTTATTACAGATTGGTGATGGAACTATTATCATTAAAATATACACATGTTTCGATCGAAAACAACATGGTTTGATGGCGAAAAATAAATAAAAAAATAAACAAATTTAATACTCCAAAAAATTAATTTACATAAAATAAAGCAACACAAATAACATTTTCTCTCCCTCTCTCTCTAACACGAAATTTAAATGTGATTTTTTAAGATCATGTTTGGACCTGCTTTGGATTTTTAAAACACTATATTCAATATTTTTAGTTGATTTTGTTTTCAAATAGAATTAGAATCTCATTTTGGATAAAAAAAAAATTGTATTGAAGATTGACATAAGTTACTATAAGACGAGAATTAGACTAAAAGTTTAATTAAAGAATATTAAAAATTTCTGAGAAATTACACTTTAGTTTCACATGTTAATAAAGTAATAAACTATATTATATATTAATTCAAAATATAAAAGTCATTATGCTGAAAGAAATAGTGAAGCGGAACCAAATTCAAAACCATGAAGCTAGTCAGCTAGATTTCCGGTTCAAACTTTAATTAAAAAACACAATTAAACTTTTTATTAAAAAATTAATTAGGCTCCACAATAAAGATTAATTATGAAAAAATCAATATATATTTTAAATTAATAATATAGTAAAGGAAAAAAATAAAAAATAATGATATAATTTTTATAAATATTTTTATTACCTTATTAAAAATATAAAAAAGAAAGCAATTTAAGTAAATAGTAAAAATACAAGACACACATCTAACATTTAGCAAAGAAAGAAATAAGAAATCTAATAGCTTCCATTTTTTTTCTCATCACTTCTAACGTAGTGAGGAGATTAGTCACTATTATCAATAGTGAACAGTACAAACCAAAAAATATCATTACATTTTAGTAACTTATTTTACGACATTTTATGTAACAAGTTTATATTATGAATAATAATTTTTATTTTGAAATACTGAATTTTTAACTATACATAGAATCTGACACATGTGAGTTATTACAAGTCAAATTCTGTGATGATGTAATGTTAGTCTTTCCTTAACATGAGTGAGAGTGAGGAAAAGAGTGAGAGCCCCAAAAGCTGCACCCTACAATACGAAGGATGCAGAGAAGGATAGGCTATAAGTGCCTCTAAATATGTGAAGGTAGTTTAATGAATAAGATAGTGATTTAATTGGGTCACCTAAACACAGCAAGAAACAATGTTCGAGATCCTTCCACAACATTCCTTCGCTATCAGTTTCAGTGGGCGCACCCTCTTCTCCTTCCCCTGTTTCCCCTTATATTCACTCCCCTTTCCACCCCATCTTTCCATTCAGCGATTCTCAATTATTTCTCCACCCTCTTCTTCTCTCTCGCAACAACCCATGTCTTCAGAGGCAGAGGTGCCAGATATTTCCTCTCTCTTCCAACGCTTCCAGCGGAACAGAGACATGTCTCTGTTTCTCCCCTTCCTCTTCGGCTTCTCCGACCCGGGAAGAGCTAGCGGCGACCCAGATCGGGAAACGCCTCCCGCGGAAGCCTCGCAGCGTCAAAGAATCATCTTGGTCAACCCCTTGACTCAGGGCATGGTGGTCATCGACGGCGCGTCCAGCCTCGAGGCTCTGTTTCGCGAGCTCGGGGGCGGGAAGGGTGGCCGGCCGCCGGCGTCGAAGGAGTCGATAGAGGCGATGCCGAGCGTGGAGATCGGAGAGGGGTGTGGGGATTTGGAGTGTGTGGTGTGTTTGGAGGAGTTTGGGGTTGGTGGGGTGGCGAAGGAGATGCCTTGTAAGCATAAGTTTCATTCTAGTTGTATTGAGAAGTGGTTGGGGATTCATGGGAATTGCCCTGTTTGTAGGTATGAGATGCCTGTGGAGGAGAGGGATGATGGGAAGAAGAGGGAAGAGGAAGGGGGTGGTGAGGTTTGGGTTAGTTTTTCTTTTAATAGGAGTACTAGGAGAGGCCATGATCATGATCATGATCAACCTGCTTCTGCTGAGTCAAATGATGATTCTTCATCAAGCCATGGAGATGATGCTGTTGTGAGTTAGAAAAATTTTGTTTTATGTTTTTTTTGGGTTGAAAGTGGTGTTGGTTTTCAAGTTGGGGAGGACTGAAAAATATGTACAGGCACATAAGCACAACATTGTTGTTATATCTTGTGGTAATAAATAAAAATGATTATTTTTTTTAATCATATATTTTATATTTTTTTACCAATTTACAATTATGGTTGGTTAGATATTGGTAATTGCCACAGACTTGGCTGGAATTGCGATTTAGAACATGCTAAAAGGCAGGTTTTTGTGTGTAATATAATGTGTCATCAATGACCCTTACCTTGGTTTTGATGATGAGTCTACACCTGTTTTTAACTTTTGTGGCAAGTGGCAAATCTAGACATATCACAGTCCAAATGCATGCATTCACTCTCCTAATAGGAGATGTTAGCGTTTATTATTAGACTAATATGATCAGGGGTGGCAAAGAAAAAGGAACGGTTAATAATTTTTTTTTCTTTCATTTTGTTGTTCGAAGTTAATTCCAATGAATTGGATGAGAGGGAAAGAAATGAAATAAATTTACATTGTGAAAGTAGAATTGTTGTTTTCATGATACACACTGTTAGGCTCCTAAGCGCTGCCTTATTCTTTTTTTACACACTGGTTTTGTTTAACAGGTAGTAATTAAGGAGCTCATTTTGTGTGCTCTTTGACATTTGAGTCAGAAGCTTCTTTCCTTTCTCTTAGAATCTTGAGTCCTTGGTACCTTCCTAGCATCAGAAGGGTAGCCATTGGGTTTGTGCCTGGTGACTCTGAAAAAGTTGAGCCATCCAATATTCTCAACCCCTTTATACCATAGACCTTGTAGTGCTCATCCACAACTGATCCAACCCTGCAACCCCCATGATAATGATATATAGTTCTCACATTTTTCTTGCAGAAGGTTCTTAGATCAACATTAGTAGATGTCAGTTTTTCTTGTCGTGACTCACCAAGGAAAAATGCAATGGACTTTGACCTTGCAATTCGATCAAGTAGTTTTGTCATCTTAATGCATTCTTCCATGTCATTTTCACTTGCTAGATAGTTGAACCTCACAGAAGGGTTCAGCCTGGGATCTGTGTTGTTAAGTTCAAGCACGCCTTTGGAACTAGGCATTGCTATCTTGGCAGCAACATTAACCCTTGATGAGTTGGAACTTAGGGGAAGTATTGATGCTTCAACTATGATTTTGAAGTCATCTGTTATGCCAGCAATTTGGGGTGGATCAGGGAGCCTATTCTGTGGCTTGGAATCCACCAAAACTGCTATGCAAGGGTTGTCTTGCATTCCTTGCCCAACCCCTTTCATGTCATGCACTACTGGAATGTTGAACCTTCTCAGCTGTTCTTTTGGCCCTATGCCACTTAACAGCAGAAGTTGAGGGCTACCCAATGCACCTGCTGCCAATATGACATCACCCCTTGTGCTTGAATTCTGGACTTTTGTGATGTAGGCTTCATAGGTTTCATCCAAAGTGCCATTACTCTGAATGAACCTTATACCCTTAGCTCTGGTTTCATTCCTGTAACCTACAATATTTGAGTGGTCAAAATTCAAGGTTGAGTACTGAAAAAATTCTATTGTAGACTCTCTTTACTTTCTTTTCCTTATAAATATTCATATAAAAAGAAAATAAAAAGTAAAATGAATTGAATTTTTAAGCTAAAATCATCTTAAGCTCTAGATGAGAGAATTTTTACAAAAATTAAATTGTTTAAGTTAATTTTAACTAAAGAGATTTTTAAGTGCTTTAGTTTAGACTAGTTAACCAAACATGATATTGACCACCCTATTATACCTAGTTACAGAAAAAGGCTTTATTCTTATCTATCACTTACTACTGTGATGGAAGATGATACTCTTGACTGTGGCATTTAGAAGGACTGTGAGGTTCTTTGGGTTCCCTGCATTTAGAAGGTCAGCTGACGTGTGTCTCTTTCCAAATTCATCAAACACACTCCCAGAAATCTTGGTTCCCTTTATATGTTCCAAGCTAAAGCCATTGTATGGCAAAACTCCTGCTTCAAGGAGGCTGAATTCAGCAACAGATTGCCATGGAGAGAGAAAAAAAGGAGGAAAGACAACCTTTGATTCCACCCATTCATAAGCTTCCTTGACCAGCTTCTTGTCCCAACCAGCTTTGTAAACAAAATCCTCACTTGCTCTACTGTAAAACCCCCCATTTATAGCTGATGATCCACCAAGAACTCTCCCTCTCACATTGCCAACTCCATCTTGTGAAGTGAAACTTTGTGCCACTGACATGTATTTGTCTGTCTTAATAAATGGAAAACCATAGTACCTCCTTTCTATCACCAAGGGATTCCCATATGGTGAACCACCTCTTTCTATGAGTAACACGGAGAATTTCTCTGATAGAGTAGCAGCTAAAGGACAGCCACATGTGCCTCCCCCCACTATAATATAGTCATAAGACTTGCCTGCTACTTCCTTAACATCTGAAGTCATGTGCCATTGCCTATTTCCACCTACATAGTGAAAATAAGTGTTAGTTGTGTTGAGACTATTAGGTTATAATCAAAATCCTTATCGTTAGAAAAAAGGAGGAAAATAAGTTTATATATATACAAATGTCGTCATTAATGAGAGACTTTTAAGTGATAACTAAAAATAAATCTATAAGATTTAGACCTAAAATAGACAACATCTTATATATATATATATGAACTCTGGTGTACTACAAAGACCTATCAAAATATTGTTTTAAGCTTAATTAAAAAAGGAAACCAAAGTTGTACAACTTACCTTGAGGCTCGAAAGGGAAAGACAAGCCAAAACTTGCCAGAAGGAACAATAAAAATGCTGTCAGAAGCTTATGAACTTGGTTGATTTTTGGAAGTTCCATATTGCAATCAGGTAATGCATTGACTTGGGAGCAGAGGAAGAGCATGATTTTATTTGCCAAAATGTGGGCTATACGAATCATTTGTTTTCTCTTGGCTGGTGACACCAATTGATTAAAGTTTACATAGCATAAAGTATTTAAAAAAATGCGCATGGTGTTACTAATCATTCCTTCTTCCTTTGTTGGCGACAACCGTTGTCTGTTACGGCCATAATGTTTGTGTCTAACCTTGAATTTTCTAGGTGGATGTGATATTAAAAAACTAAAATTGAAGTTTTGTTTTAATAATATTTTGTGTGAATCAAGTCCCCAATAAATTTTTTGAAGTTCAAGGCTAATGATTCCATCCAATCAGTTTATGTAATTTCTTAAATCCTTAAAATTTCACTTTCATAGCATGTTTATGGTGACTTTCTTATACGCTAAAAAAAGTGAACATTATGCATGTGTCCTTCTTATAAGCTTTTGGGTTGGCATAATTGCATGTAGGTAAAAATGGGTTCAAAATGTAATAATCTTGTTTATAACAATAATTATGCATGTAGGCATAATTGATGGACTGGGTTAAACGTCACTTATTCACATTTTAAGTAGGGCCTTAAGAAGGATAATAAATTATATTAGTGGGTACCCCTTATGGTGGAAATTGGTGACTATGGCCCATAATCGGAGGCTAAGTATTTGGAAGAAAAAAGTGAGGGTTGGAAAGGTGTGCCACGTGCCTCGCATGCCATTTCTTGACTATGAATAATATGATGAAAACGGATCCAAAGGAGTAAGTGGAAATCTTTATCTTCTGTAACTATTAATGCAAGTATATGAAATGATTTAGGAGTTAATTATTGTAATCTACCTCTAATTTCTAATATATACTTTGTCAAGGTTTTACGCAATATGTCTTTCTCTGTTTGAAGTACATAATGGGGGTTAATTAGTGGGGTATTATTTAAATGCTTTCAGTTATCAGTTATTTTTATAATTGTAATTAGATGGTGTCTGAACTAGTTTATGAACTCCGGGCAAATTCACTTCTTTAATCTAGTCAAAAGCAAATCATATAAGTTATAATTGATGAAGGGTTTAGTGAGTAGATTTCTTCATCCTCATTTAAGAGAATTTTATTTATAACAATATGTAAAGAATGAATAGTAAATGACTAAATGCGATTAATGATATAATAAAAAGAAATTAAAATATAAATAAGTTTTAAATAATTTTAATCTTATTTAATGATATGATCTTATTTTTAAAATATCTTTTTTATTTAATTGAGATTCTATTTTTATTATTTTCTTATATATTTGATGATATCAAATTCCAATGAAGGAAAATATTAAAAAACTATTTTTAATTAATTAAAACTAACAAAATTAATTGATGTTAATTATTTTTTTTACTTAGTAGATAAATAAATAAATTTTATTTATATTAACGTTTGGAGGGAGCAAATTCCACCTTCATTTGGTGGATCCCATTTCTAAAGTAATAAAAAAAGTATTAAAATTTCAACTAATAAAAAAGTATATTAAGAAAAAGTGTAAGATCCAAGTGTACTATTGGTATCACTTTTCCATAGCATATATATATATATATATATATATATAGACACACACAACATAGGAACATCACATCATCATCTCATCTTTGATAACACAGCATCGAAGCATCATAACATACAACACAGATCAACATAATCCAACTTTGATTTAACATAACAACACATTTCATCACAGTTCAACACAACATATGAACAACGCAATCAACTTGATACATCATATGCTCAACACAATAACTATATACATCGTCACACATTTCAATCAAGAGATCTCTTACAACACAGGACGAGCAGTTTAAGTGGCATAATCCTATCAAATCAACAACATAGAGTGATCTTTTAGGGCTTGCTAGATCAACAACAAATTGGATATAAATTTACAACACAACAACTTAATTTCTTAGATGTTTCCACTTAAACAATGAAATGTAGTACTAACGTTAGGATAGAACAACTAGATATGAGCCT